ACGTTGCATCTTGATGACCAAGTGAACTGTGAGGCCATCTCGCACTCCACACTGTGCCAGTGAGTCAGGGTCCTTGAGGATTTTTCCCGCAAAGATTAGAACCAGCTGATTTGGATGTGCCTTAAAGCGGTGTGATATCTCTTCTTTCAGCTGCCGGATGGTGCATGTGTCTACAACTGAGAAATCCTCCTTGTCCTTGGGTGTCTTCACTGTCACCCTGATGAGGTGGGAATCCTGGGCTGGCGCTGGGCTGCCCTGTGGTAGAGCCTCTCCACTTTTGGCCATGGTGGGCAGCAGGAAGCCCAGGTCTGTGGGGACACAGCTGAGGGGATAGGGATGGGAGACGGAGATCATCCTTTCAAACAATGGTGACAGTAAAAAGGGAATATAAAGAGGGCCTTGGGTCTTGGGGGAGGGGAGGGTGTAGTGTCCACATGAAAATGACCACGAGGTCACTTGGAGAGGGATGTTTGGGAAATTATGGAATTAAAATGTGTTGGTCAGGGGGAAAACACTCAGGGCCCAGGGAATTGGTCTTCAGATGATGAATAAAGGGATGAGGGGGAGTAAAAGGGCCTGGTCTGGGGGATACACACCAATCTGCTGTGGCCCCGTCCTTTCTCTTAGGCAGGGCTCCAAACCGCCCTCATCTTGCTGCACAGCCACCCCGTAGGCCTTCTGGGCTGGAACCCATTCCATCAGGTCACCTCTGTGACCTCAGCACTGACATCACAGCCTCACACTATGGATACTGAAGACTCCAAGGTGATCAGAGTTCCTGGGAATCCAATCCCACACACACACTTAACTTTTATCCTTTATCTCAAATTATTAGTAATGAGGACTCTGGGATGACAATTCCTTTTCAGGCCAACAGCCCTCTTCCATACAACACTATACATGGTATATGGAGACTCAGAGTGGAGTTGAGGCCTCTATAAAAAGTTCCTTTGGAACATGCAGTATCTCTAGTGAGAACTGAATTCAGTTGACCATACTTGAATATTTCTTTCTGAATCTTCAGTTCCTTTTTCTTTATATCCAATGTTAACCAGAATATATATTTTTAAAACATTTATTTGTTGCTAAAAACAGTATGGAATGTGAGAGAGGGGTCAAAAGTGACTGAAAGTTTTGTATTTCTATAATTTTTGTACAAAGGAATGACCATATAAAGACACTACATGAGGGAAATTATATGCAATCCAGATGTATATGTAATAGATATTTGAGATATTTACTTTTATCTAGCAAATATATAGAAATGTGGCAATATAGTTAAATATTGCAAGTTGGGAGTGCATCCGTGTTTAGATTACTTGAAATATGGGCTGGTTAAGACTAACCAATATATTAAAAAATAGTAAGATGAAAAAATACTAAAGGTTCTGACTGTACACAGATTAGTATATAAAAAGGAATAGATTTGAAAGATACTGACTCATACAAGAATTAAAAATATAGATATTATAATACAGAGCAGGAAGGATAGACAAAAGGCAGAAAATAGGTGATCAAATGACATTGCAAAAAAGTAATCAGCTGTCTCAAATTAGGCTGATCAGTTCAAAGTGCTAAGGATTGACTACAGAAATTTTTAGTTTTTTTTTTCAATTAAATTAGAAACAAGCTTGCTTCACATGTCAATCCCAGCTCCCTTTCCCTCCCTTCCTTCCCCGCCCCTCCCCCACCAGGTCCCCCAGGCCCCCACTCAACCCCCACTCTGTTCCCCAAAGAGGGTGAGGCCCTCCATGGGGGATCTCCAGAGTCTGTCATTTCGTTTGGGGCAGGGCCTAGGTCCTCCTCCAAGAGTTCAGTCTGAGAGTGCATCCCTCATTGTAGTCCATTTGTATGCCAGGGATAATTACTGATCTAGTGCCCAAGGCCCCATAGATTGCCTAGGCCTCCTCACTGACACCCACATTCAGAGTGTCTGGATCAGTCCCATGCTGGCCTCTCAGCCATCAGTCTGGGATCCAAAAGCTCCCCCTTGTTCGGGTCAGCTGTTTCAACTACAGAAATTTTTTATCTTTTATTTATTCTTTGACAATTTCAAAGACAATAACAATGTATACATCGATTATATCTAACCAAAATTCCCCCATCCATTCTTGACTTGAACAACTCTCAACACATCCTCCTTCCACCCTTTTGTTCTCTCCTTTTTGTTGTTTTTGTTTCCTATAATCCAGTAAGTCCCATTTGTGCAGCCTGCTGGAATATTAACCAAAATTGTTGGCTTGAGCATGCGCAGCTCTTGTGTAGGTAACTAATTGTAGCTGCAGTGAGATCATTAATGTAATGTCCATGTCATTTCAGAAGACAGCAATTCACAGCACTCCTCCCCATCCTCTGGTTCTTACATTCTCTTCAACAAAGTTCCATGACGTTCCCTGAGCCTTGGAAGGGTTGATATGTAGAGTCTACCTGTGGCTAAGAACTGGAGTTGACTCCTGAATTTCATAAAAGGAGAGTAGAATACCAGCTGTGAATAGTGGTGAGAAACAGGAATCCTGATTTGAGGGTGTTTGGGAACAAATGAGTCAGAATGCAAGTAGATCAAATAAGACTAGACCCAACAAGAGACGGGAGTTGTGATGGTGAAAGGCTTTTTAGTGCCCCCACGCTTTGTTTTCTGAAGGCTAGCCTGTGATAGTTCTATTTGGGTGAAAACACTCCAACGAGGAGGAGGAAACGGGCGCAAGCATGGGAAAAGCAATCACAAGCCTGAATGCCGAGTAGACAGCGTGAGCAAGTGCTGGAGTGCATGGCTTGGCTTGTGGATATGGCGGGCTTATTCTTCATACCAGAATAGGGGGCTGAAGGTGTAAGATGAGGTCTTAACTTGTCTTTCAACAGCAAAGGCTCGTAATTGTCTCATTGGATCTTATCTGTCTTTTGGTTAAAGTAGGTAAACTTTCCTTTAATGTTTAAGGCTAAAAAAGATGATATATTGAAATTGTCCATAAAGCAAGAGAGGTATGACATACTCATCACAAAGGATAAGAAATGGCCAGGTCTGTTAATCTGGTGCAATCGATAACATCCATACCCCCTTGTAAATTTGTTAGAAAGGTAGGAACCCCAGTCTAGATATACTGCATCAAAATCCTTGGAATATAGTTAGAAAACCGTGTTTTAAAACGCTGCCCTGGGGTGATTCTGATATGGATTCTAGTAAGAATTGTTGCCCATGATATGTGATTAGGATGACCGACTAGGTTAACTGAAGCTTTAAGTAATGTATGTAAGACCAGAAAACATGGCTGTGTGCTTTCTTTGCTTGCACCGACTGGTCAGAGCTGGTTATAACTATGAGGCATGTACTAGAGAATTGTTTCATTGATGAATCCAAAGGTCATCTTGAAACTAGAGAATTTGGGTCAAGAAGCATCCAGGAGGTGCAAGAATGGCACCCACTTCTGTGAACATCAATAATAAAAGAGGCAGCTACTGTGGTGGAGAAGCAAGACGTCAGTGGACAACTTCCTTTACAGAAAATAGCTAAGGGAATCTTTGAAAGAAGGTTGTATGTATGAGGGTTTCATTCTGGTCTAAGTTATATGTTCCTAATCATAAGATGGAGATGTTTGGGGAAATGGTGACATTTTTTAAGACAATGGGTGTAAAGTGTCAGATCAGTTCAGTATTTCAAAACATGGTAGGATGAAAAACAGGATGATATTACACCCAGCATGCTAGTATGTAACTGTCATTCCAGCACTTGGGAAGGTAGAGGCCAGAGGATCACAAGTTCTAGGCTAGCCTGGGCTACATAGAAAGGCTCATTTCCTTCCATGTCTATCTATCATCTATATATTTTATCATCTATCTATCTACATCTATTTAAACTACCTATCCTCTACCTATCTATCATCTATCTACCTATCTATCTTGGGCTGTTTATATAAAATGGGACAAATAGGATATAGCTATAATTTATTTCTTGAATATGTTTTTGATAGGTTGTAGTGATGAAGTAGGGTCTGGAAAGAGGCTTACTAGAAATACTAGAAATTTGTGGTCCTGCTGCCTTTAAACTTGTTGATGATAATAAATTTGAGGTCAGGGGATGGTGGGAATCTGCACTGAAAGTGGCAGTAACCGTACCTCTGATGGATAACGGAAGGCAAGTCACAATCAAGGTCTTGTTATCATGGAAGTAATAATTAATAAGAGGCCCCAGTTATAAATACCAATATGTCATTCATGTGTGAATTCTTCCTACATGTATCTATGAGGATCTATCTATCATTCCTGTTCTTTCAAGTTAAACTCAGTTTTAAAAAACATGACTAAATATCAATCTTTATGACTAAATATCTGAGCCTATGTGATATTCCTTTTATTTCACAAGTCTCTTCCATTACATAGGGTCCATTCTGTATCACTAGGTATTAGTGTATATCTACCTATAATAAACATCCTAGGTTACATGTATTTGTTCCCTGACACTTGATCACTATATAAACAACTGTGATTATCTACCAAAACAAGCATAGACTGTATGTTTGTGTATCTGTAGGTAAAACAAAGGCATCAAGCACATTTTGTTGATTTCCTGCTTGGCAGGGTGCAGTGGCAGGGGGAGACTGGGCAAGCTAAACATGATGATGTTCACAAGTAATCCCAGCACTCAGGCAGCACAGGCAGAATTGTCACAGGCTGAAGGCCAGCATGGTCTACATAAAAAGACTCTGTCTCGAGATGGAGGAGTGATGAGCAAAGGGGTCAAGACCGTGCTGGTGAAACCCACAAAGACAGCTGACTGGACAAGGGGGAGCTCTTGAACCCCAGACTGATGACTGAGAGGCCAACAGGGGACTGATCCAGACTCCATGAATGTAGTGTCAGTGAGGAGGCCCTGGTGGAGGGACAAGGGAGGAGGGGTGGGAGAGGGATCTGGGATTGACATTTGAAGCATGCATGTTTCTAATTTAAATAAAAACATATTTTTTAAAAAAAGACTCTCTCAAAAACAAAACTAGGCAAGTCTCAGATGAAGGCAAGTAGGTGTAGCCATTTTATTGACAGGTCTTCCAGCCATGACCAGTGATCTAGTATTCAGTTGAGCAAGCGTTGATTGGTTTTTCCTGTTCCAAGACTTCTCCCAGTTGGAAGCATCAGGAAAGGTAGGAAAGGCAGGTGAGGTAGTCAAATGGGTGAACATGGAGGTAGAAAGCAGATGGGGAGACATGATGGCTAGGATCCCTGAGATTTCTTGAGCTTGTGAATAGCAGCATTCGTGTCACCATCAGTAGCAATGAGAGCTTGCAGATTGGCATTATAATTCACAAATCCCATGGCCTGGAGATGTTCCATCTGTTTGCTGAAATGAACTTCGGGGGCTTGTAGGGAATGAGAAGGATCTCCAGATGGGGGCTGTACGCTCTGCAGGACAGTTCCAGATTTCGGGCAGCATTCAGGCCACTGAGGTTCAGCCATGTCAGGCACATTCAGGGTCCAGGGCACTGCATCAGGGTAGTTACAGCTGGAAGGAGGAAGCCATCCTAGACCCCATAAGTAAGGTTCAATGCATGGCAAAAGAATAGGAGCCTCTGTAGCCAATAGCTGCAGACCGTGCTCAATTTGTAATATTGCTTGTGATGTTTTAGGGTTGGCTAGGGCTAAAAGCAAGTCAGAAAGTTGTGATGACTGCAAGGATGTGGGCGATTGCTGCCTCCACTGTTCATTCTGTTGGGGCATATTCATGAGCAGCAGCATCTGGGCTGCCATGTGTGGGTAGTTCCTCAGCAACTGGATCATTCCTCCTGTGATCTGAGAGCTGGTCTGCTCATCTGACTGCTGGAGATCTTCCTCTAACCACTGGTCAGAGCTACCTAGAGGGAGGGTAGTATCCTTACCATCTTCCTGAAGCTCCTGGGTGACTGCTGTGCTGGGTAAGGCTGGAACCCCAGCTGGCTGCTGAACAGCACCCACACGGCTTTCGCCCTTGGTGGTTACTGTGACTGGATTTTCCCTGGAAGCGTGGTTAGCATTGTTTAGAGTAGAATTTGTTGGGGTGATTGATGATAATCCACAAGAATTAGCATAAATGACTTGGGCATTAGGGGGTTGGTTCCATTGTTCTCCAGATGGTGGTACAGATAGGGAAGGAGTCTGGACTTGTTCTAGTACTTGTCCAGTCAGAAGGGCTGTAAAAGAGTTGCCCCCTAGAAGATCTTGCATGCCATTGAGCGTTTGGTCATTGAAATCATAGCTCTGTCCCAGGGCATTGTTCCCATTTGGAATTGTCTCTAAGCCCAGGTATGGCTGTGGGTTTGGTGGATGCTCAAGGTTCTGTGCTGGCTGATTTATCTGCATTATCTCTTGGATAATGGCAAGGTGCCTGACCAGCTCCAGAGTCTGGCATAGGATATCAGAATTGTCAAGAAGATGGGAGACTTCTGTGTTCTGCTGTATCAGTTCTTGTATATCTGGGTGTTCTGATATCAGCTGGCGCATGAAATCCATATTGGACAACATTCTCTGAACACAAAGATTCTCCAATATCTGTGCAACATGCTCTGGACTATCCACTTCTGGGTTTTGAGTACCCACCTTGGGTGCATCAGACTCCGTGAGGAGGGATGATTCCACTTTGGTTTGACACATGCCTGCAGATTGACAAATCCTACTGCTGTTTCCTTTGATGCTTCTATCTTGATGGCTGGGATGTTTGGTTAACAAGTTCCGGAAAGAATGAGCCAGGGATCTGGAGCCGTGCTTGGACTTGATGACCACGTGGATGGTATGGCCATCTGTGATGCCCCTTTGACTCAGTATGTCATGATCTTTGAGAAGGCGGCCCATGAAAACCAGTACCAATTGGTCCATTTGGCATTTGAAGTGAGCAGACAGTTTCTCCTTGAATTGCTCCACTGAGGTATCACCAGCTACTGTAAAATTGTTCTGGTTGCCTGATGTCTTTACAATCACTCGAATAACACTTGGAGAGATATTCCCATCTTCAGACACACCTGCAGGACATCTGCTCTGGGGCATCCTAGGTGTTCGAGAGATAATATGTGGCATAGACCTTAGTGGGCAGGCAGATGGAGAGCAGGCAGAAGCAGGGGCAGAGAGGTGAGGGCAGGCAAATGGTCCTGCTGGCCTTTGTTGCAGGTGTTTTGTTCTGAGATCATAGGTTAGTTTTTCTTGATGTCCCCAAAAAGGATGAATGGGCTAAATCCGGTATTATTCGATGTTGTACCCTCACCCCAATTCTCCAGATGTGGCCCAGCTGAGGCCTGGCGTGGCTACTGACTCATACTTGGCACAGAGTAGACTAAGTGGTGATGACCCTTCACAGCTGCCCCACCCCCAAGAGCATGACCGGTTCAGAAAAGAAATATTGTGATGTCAACTTTAGCCTCACAATATGTCATGATGAAGTGGGATGAATAAATTTGGGAGACTTGGGATGTCTCTCTCCATAATAAAACAAATAAGGACAATACTTCAAAACTGGAAATAAAATTTCCTAGTAAATAATAATAATAGTAGTAACTAAGCAGATGTGCAATATGTGTTTTTTATAGAGCTGTGTTTAGGTCCCTCTTTGAAATGATTAGATTTATTGTATAAAGTTTTGAATCTGCTGAAACCAAGAATAAATAAATAAAACAAAGAGTAAGAATGGAGTCTACATCACAGGAAGGTCTTACTAATTTTGCAGATGATCTGGACAAGGTGAGTGTTAAAAAGGGAAGTGGAGATTAGAAGTGATGAGACATGCCTTTAATCCCAGCACCCTGAAAGCAGAGGTAGGTAGATGTCTATGGTGAGCTTGGCCTACTTAGTGAGTTCCAATCCAGCCAGGGATACATAGTAAGACCTTGTCCCAAAAAATTAAATTAATTAAATAAAATAATAGTTTTTAACTTTTTATTGGTTCTTTGTAGATTTCACATCATGCATCCTGATCCTAGTCATCTCCCTGTTCCCTGGCTTCTGCCCTCTGCCCTTGCAACCTCCCCCTCAAAAAAAATTTTTAAATAACAACAAAAAAATTTTTTCAGCATGGAAGCTGCAGTGTGGCCCCATTAAGTCTCATAGTACACCCTTTAGTCCATACATCTTTACTTGTAAGTGTTCATTCCAAACAGTCATTGATCTGGTTCAAGGTCTCTAGCTTCTGCTACACCATCCATAGTGGGCCTTCACTGAGTTCCCTCTTGGACATCCTATTGTTGCCTTGTGTCGTGGAGATCATGTGACTTTGGATCTGCAGGTCCAGCCCCTTCACACACTGCAGTAGTTCTTAGATGGGGTTGGTATTGGGGTGGGCTAACTCATAGTCCTGGTTCTGGGCCTGGGTGGTAGCTGGGTTAGCCAGCTTTCCTCATTGTTACCACCCCAGCGAGCTCTCCAGCACTGCCCTGGCTCAACTCACCCAATGTAGCAGACCTCAAGGAGCAGGGCCAGTTCTCCTGCTCTCACACCCACAGGCCTGCCTCACCCACACTCATACCACCAGGGCCAGCTCTACTGTTTTGCCTAGGCTAGGTGCAAGGCCTGCTCTCCAGACAGCCATACTTGGTGAAGGTCAGGGCCAGCTCCTCCCTTCTCATGCCCCATAGGCCAGCTCTCCCACTGTCAAGAGGTAACAAGAGTTTGGGGGGAGGGCATACATCTCTTACCTTTGCCACTCCACTGCATTTGAGGGAGAGGGCAGGGGCAGCTCACCAGCTCTCACACCTACAGGCCCAGCTCACCTGAGCCCCTGCCAACAGAGCTTTCATGTGCTGCCCAGGTGAGGTGTCGTGCCTGCTCTCCCATGTGCCGTAGCTGATGAGGAGCAGGGCCCCGGAGTCAGCTCTCAACACAGGTGGCAAGGGGCAAGGGGAAGGAGAACTTTTGTTTCCCCTTACTCATGCCCCAGTGTGACAGACCATGGAGCTAACTCTCCAACTCTTGGCTGCTCACAGGCACCCATGTCAGCAGGGAAAACTCATCTGTGTTGCACTGCAGAGATGCAGGGCCCACTCTCTTGAGTGCTACAGTTGGTGAGGAGCAGGGTCAACTCTGTGCAGCCCTATTCTCACTGTTTTCAGTGGTGATAAGAGCCAAGGACATCAACACAGACCATGGCAGGAACCCAGGCCCAGAAGACACGATGGCCCTGGGTGGAAGCACAGGCTACTCAGATAGGCATGGGCCTGGCAGAGGCTCAACCCTCAGACACTAACAAGGCCCTCCCCCTGATGCCTGCATGGCCCTTAGTGACACTGTGGGCCGTAGACATCAATACAGATTCCTAACTGTGGGTGGACCATGGTCCTTGACAGCAGCCCAGGCCTGAATGTCACCATGGCCCAGCTGTCAGTGCATAAAAGAAAATGGGACCTCATGACTCAAGCAGGTCATGAGGCAGCCAGGGTCCTCACAGTCTGGCCTACCTGAAGATATCCACAGGCCTGCCTCCTGCCTTGTGACCCCAGGTAAGTGGGTGCCATTATGATAAGCAAGTATATGGTGGAGAAATGGGAGAGAGCAGCAGAATGGTTAGTGTGCTGTGGTAAGAGACAGTTCTGAAGAAACAAGCGTGGCAGGGAATGGGCTGATGTTGGCAGCCTAATTGCCAGGGTGATGCCTGGGCCTGGGCTGTTGCCTAAGGCTATGTCTGGGTTCGTGATCCTACAGCAGCTGGGGTCTGTGTTGATGTCTATGACCCATGTTGCCACCAAGGCTATGAAGAGCCCAGGGTCTAGAGAGATACCACCTGTTGCCATTTTGGTGTCCAAAGGCCACCATGGGGTCCATGTTGATCTGAGGGGCCTGTGCTTCCACCAGGAAAAATAATGACATCCAGACCCAATCTACCAGGGGCCATGTCTGGGTCTATGGTCCTGCAGCAGCCAACATCTGTGTTGATGTCCATGGTTTCAGTAACCACAGAAGCCCTGTGGATGACTGGAGTCAGATACCTGAAACCATGTTGGTGTCCAAGGGCCGGGCTGACACCAGGGCGATGCTAATCTGGATGGCCTGTGAGTCATGGTGACATCTGGGCCTGGGCTGTAGCATAGGGTCATGTCTCGGCCCTTGGCCCTACTACAGCCAGGGACTGGGTTGATATCTGTAGCCCCTGATAACACCAAAGGTCACACAAATACCCAGGTCAGATGGAGATCTGAGGGCCATGCTGCAGCCAGGACCATACAGATACGAGTGGCTTGCACTGCCACAGGTGCCATGGTAACATCCAGGCCCAGGCTGCTACTGAGGGCCATGTTTGGGTCCATAGTCCTATTGCAGAAGGATCTGTGTTGATGTCTATGGCCTGAGGTGCCACCAAAGGCCACACAGATTCCAGGGTTCTAGGCTGTATCCAGTGGCAATGTTGGTGTTCAAAGATCTTGCCACCACCAGACCCATGCCAATCTGAGTGGCTTGCACAGTTACCTGGGGCCATGCTGTCATCCAGGCCAGGACTGCTGCCAAGGGCCATAACTGGGTCCATTTTCCTGCTGAAGCTGGAGTCTGTGATGATGTCCATGGCCTGTGTTACCCCATGCATGTTGAAATCCAAGGGCTATGCTGAGCCAACCTGGCCCCTCACTGGTCCTGAGACAGCTGGTTGGTCCTGCCCCTCACTGAACACCGCAGCAGAAGAACTTGCTTGCCGCCATGGGAGAGTGCTACCCCAGACCCGCTACACTCAGGACTGCTGACCAGGCTCGACCCCTCACCATGGAAGTGGGAGAGCTGGCCTCAATGGCATGGGCCTAAGAGAGCTGTTTCCACCCACCTACTGACAAGTGGCCTGGCCTGACGAGCTCAGTTACCAACCACACCCACATCCTGGGCCGGGGTTGGCCTGTCCTAATATCTACCCCATCTATGACCTGCTTGAGTGCAGGAAGGGACTAGTCCTGTGGAACCATAACTTCAGGGTCTCCGTGACTTGGGGCAATAACAGGATATCCGAGAGGAATGATGATGGTGTGGCAGAGGCCTTGAACCAGACCAACGACTCATTGCAATGAGCATTTTGAGGATGGGAATTATTGGACAAAAGGGTACATTGAGTGACACACTGCACCTTCTGATGCCAGTAGGATGAATGAAGAGGTGTTGGAAAGAAAGACAGAGAAGCAAGGTGGGGTTTTGTTTGTTTTGCTTTTCATTAATATGGGGGCTTGGGGGGCATGCTGCAGGGGTGAAGGGCAGATATGGAAGGACTGGGAGGTGAGCAGGATTGGAGTGCATGATGTGAAATTCCCAAAGAATCAATAAAGAATTGTGTTTGAAAAAAAGAGAGAGAAAGAAAGGATAATGAAACAAAAGTGAAGATCTTATGTGAAAAAGAAGCTACATTTTCCTCTGAGGTCTAGACTGTGGGATTCTAGACTTAAGTGAAAGCATGCCCATGTAGTAGGTAAAAAGTTTTTTTTTTTCTTCTCCGGGAAGTTAGGGATAGGAGGATTTCTATAAAGAAACCCCCAAAGTAGAGGTAAACAAGCTGCTATTTACAGCACACTCTTTATTCACATAATTTCCAAGTCTTGGTCTCTCTATGTGCTATCATAACAGGCTTTTTGAGTGCTTGATTTCATCTTTTCAGTGAAAACACCGAAGAGGACAAGTTATTACTGCATTTCCTAAGAACAGGTTCCAGCAAGTGAAATGTCAAGATTCTCAGGACCCCAGATTCTTGAAGCTAGTATTAGCTTGTCTTTCTTAGGAAGCACATGAATTATTAGTGGACATGTTAAGATATCTGTTAAAAATTTTAAATGTAGAATTATTGCATATACAAAGTACACAAGTTCTAGGGTTTGTGTTTGTGAATATACACACAAAGAGAGTGCATGCATCCTCTATGGTTAGGAAAACTTGGGAATCTGTGTCTATACAACTGCCTAGAGAGAGAGGAGCATTGTGTGGACACATGAAGGAACACATGTTTGAACCCACGTGTTCTCAGTGCATTGAAGAGAGGAAAGAAAGGACAAACACATGCTAGGAAACTTCTTGCAATCACACCAAGTCTTTATTGAGAATGTCTCAATCCACAATCCAAATTCTTATCCTGTGCTACTTATCCTGACTAATTCAGTTGCTAACTCTCTAGAGCAGGGTCAGGTCTGAGTGCCTCTTTCAATCTACTTGAAATTGAGATTGGTTGAGGGCAGTGAAGAACTTATCTTCAGACCCAGGTTCTGCCTCCCTTCTCTGCAGAATCGTTTAGGAGTGTGGAGATATGAAGGGAACTTCTATTTCCCACTCTCAAACGAGCTTCCATAGATCTTCTACACTGAAATCAGATGTACTCAACTTGACCCTGAGAATGAA